TCGCACGTTATTAATATTCGTTTCCAACCAAAGTTCATATTCTCCAGCTGCCAAAGATAGCCTTGTAAAATATAATGAAAATCTGCCAGGGAGATCATACATTGGGGGGAGGGGGAGAAGGAATGGATTTATTCTTTCTGTGTTTAATCCTGCAGAAAAGAACGTGTCTCTAATCAATGTTTCAGGTTCTTGTTAATTACACAGCCCTCTCCCAATATCTCCTGTTTAATTAGGGTCAGATTCACAAATCAGAGTGTACAACATAATTATACCAACTACTTAATTTGATCAAAAAAGAAATTTTATCCACACTTACACAGACATACTATTAAAGTTACAACATTGGACGATGCTTTGCTGCTGAGGAGTTACACTGTGAAACTGACAGGTCTGGTTCCTGCAGTCCTTCCTCATGCAAAATTCCCAGCGCCTCCAATCCTCGCCTCTCATTTTTCAGGCTCAGTGTCCCGTGACGTGGGAGCCCTCTGAAATTTCCGTTCGTGGAGCAAAACTGCTCCTCTGCCCTTGAATTAAAATCCCTCACAGAAAACCAAGGTGGGAAGAGACACAAGTGTAGGTGACGATCTGTCGTGCAAAGTGTGTTTTAGGTACAGCGAGCTACTGAGCAAGGCTTCGCTGGAAAATCAATGGGAATTTTGCCAAGGAGAATACTAACTGGGCTAATGTATGCTCTTTCTTTTTGTGTCTAGGGAGAGCTCTAGCTGGTAAATTACACCAGTTCATGAAGCAGTGTCTTATTCGGATCTAATAAGGTTGATGGTGTTTCAGTTTTGTTCCAATATGACCAGATCAGATCCTCACTCGAATTTTCCCCCAATAACTCACGGATAATTTTCTCTTCTGTTCCCGCTCCGAGTTTCAGACATTGTATAATACTACTAGAGTCACAGGGTCACACAGGTGTATGCAAGTTAGCACGCTCTTTAAAGGTAATATTTTTAAAAGGCTTTGAATCCATCACTTGAAAAACAATTTTTAACGAGGAAAAAAATCTCTCACTTCGTGGCTAATAGAGTGGTAAAGCTAGTTCACAATGACTGTTGCTCTGTGCATTAGGCTCTTCTTTTCCGATACAGGAAAAGTAAAGAAAAAATATATCCAGCAAATTGTTACTTTAGTCGATGCTTGTATGAGCAAAGGTCTCCAAATAAATATTCGATAGGGCCCCCAGTCAGCTCATATGCATCCTGGTTCCTGATTGGAAGATCAGAGCCTTCTCCAAAACTGATTCCACCGGACTGAATTTTGTGTTCATCACAACGTGAAGTTCGTGTTAGGACGGGGTGGAATTTCTCGCAGCGGGCTCTCCGCGTGCGAACCGAATTCACCCACACCGGCCAGCAAAGTAAAAGACATTCAACGGGGCCGGAGCAAAAGTCGATTTAGACCTTCCCCCCCCCCCCCCAACCCCCC